ATTGTTTTTTTTTTTGTAATCGATGATCGAATTTTATGTAATCCATGATCGAATTTTATGTAATCCATGATCGAATTTTTGTAATCCATGATAGAATTTTTTGTAATCCATGATCGAATTTTTTGTAATCCATGATCGAAATGTTTATTTTTTTTCTTGTAATCCATGATCGAATTTTTTTTTGTAACGCATGATAGAATTTTTTGTAATCCATGATTGAATTTTTTGTAATCCATGATCGAATTGTTTTTTCTTTTTTGTAATCCACGATGGAATTTTTGTTTTTTATGTTTTTTTTTTTGTAGTCTATGATCGAATTTTATGTAATCCATGATCGAATTTTTTGTAATCCATGATCGATTTTTTTGTAATCCGTGATCGAATTTTTTGTAATCCGTGATCGAATTTTTTGTAATCCATGATTGAATTTTTTGAAAATTTGTGATTTCTTTTTTTAATCCATGATCGAATTTTTTTTGTAATCCATGATAGAATTTTTTGAAAATTTGTGATTTTTTTTTTTAATCATGATCGATTTTTTTGAAAATTTGTTAATTTTTTTTTTTAATCCATATTATTCAAAGAGAAAATGAGAGAGATGATGATTCTGAGGCCACCCTATCCCAGCCATATTATTCACATATCGAGTCCCAACAGCAACAGTGTAGGGATGAGCACGACAGTGCAGGTGAGCATGAAGGATGGACAAGCTTCGGGGATTTTGGATTGGGAACACAACAAAACACTGGCACTCAGGGATTTGGAAATAGTTAGACGCCTGCCAATATCGATGATTCGTTTTTAGATCGAATCAATGAATTGTTAAACGAATTCAATCAATGGCACCAGCGTGACCAAGAAGAACAATAACGTCGTCTATCATTTTATTTTTAGATCATATGTTACTAATTTTATGCTTTATTGTAGTCCATGTATGTTGATATACTTATTCTACGATAATTCTATGTTTATCCTTTTGTGTGATGTAAATTAAATGCTGAATGGCGGTTCATGCAGGGAAAGAACATATCAATATTCGCATATTCATTCAAAAACATGAAAATTCTTAATGGAGTACCCTCATTTCTTATTGAATTCCTAAAAAACAATATTTATAATGAATTTTAATAATTTTTTCGGATTGTTTTTAAGCTTTATTCTGACCGATTCATCCGATTCCCGATCTGGATCGCCGATTCGCCGATCCGGATCGGTTTTTTGGGTGCCCGATCCGGGTCACCGATCCGTTTTTTAAACCATTGCAATTAACCATTCTACACATATGGGTAGAATAATATACAACTCATAAATCCTCAGGTATCCCCCCTTGTGCTCACTGCTTTCATAACTTACCCAAATAAAGTTCAGATGGTGGAGAGATGCAGATTCATTTTTGTGATGTACAAGTTATATAATTATCAGGCTGCTTTTGTATTTTTCACCCTGTAAAGTATTTTAATCATTATACTGTGTATTTATGTGTAATTATTTCCTGTAGTTGTAGTGGAATACTTTTCGATTAAGCCAAATTCTCTTCCTAAGTTCCACAAAGATATTTTCTTTTCATTTCCATGTGGATGAGTAGTGTTTGAACAATTTGCTCTTCATCCCTTTTTAGATTTCATATGGTTGCATAAAAGCACCTTGTGCACTACCCACAGGGTTCAGTTTGTGATATATTCCAATGCAGATAGACTTTTGTATTTGTGGTTTATGTCCATTTGATCTGTTAGATCTTCTCATATCAAATTTGTAATTGGCATTATGGAGCTATGGAGGTGCTGTCATACTGCGTATATTTCATTAATATCATGAGATTTACCAAGATTCTTATTTGCTCACTTTCTTCTATTGATTGGTAGGGGAGCGAGTATCGTCATCCTTTCAAGCAAGCACTAGAGGGCTAGTTGAGATGGGAACTAGTGAACTCAAAGTTTCACATTTTTCAGTTCAAGCTTCTTCACATCTTAGGTATATATTAAACCCTAAACTAATGCATACATTGAATTACTATTTGAGTATCAGTGTTTTATTTTCTCTTACGATTTGAATATTCTCCATTTGTTACAGGTCATCTTATCAACCAACACGTATTGTTTACAAACTGCCGCAGTATCTTTGGGGACCTGTGGAAGCTTGCTGTAGGTCATCATTATCAAGGAATTTTTTTGATCCCATAAAGTTCCCATGTTGGCTAGAGCCACCCCAGTTGTTTATATGGAAGGAGCCAGCAGAGAGGTATACCTCTTCTACGGGGGCATTTATGACCTCTACTGCCCTTGATAAACGTGGCAAACTTATTTTGGGTGAGGAGAAGGTGGGTGTTTTGTTGCTTAACCTTGGGGGCCCAGAAACTCTTGAAGATGTGCAGCCTTTCCTTTTTAATCTTTTTGCAGATCCAGTAAGGGGATCTCCTTCATCTCTAATTGATTTCATATATTGGTTGATTCTTAATCTGTTATCTTAATTTCCAATATATGTAAAATGACAACATATTTTGCAAATTACTGGCAGTTCTTCACATTCGCAGTGGTAGATTCTTTGAAATATTACCTCTATCATATTATATATTATAAAATTTTTAGTGATTTCCACGCCAATAAGAGAAATCAATTTTGCACATTCAAGAAAAGAAGTCATCCCTCCTGCATTCCTAATTAAGCAATGATCTTCAAAATTGAGAAACCTCACCAAATTTGTTGGAGACCAAGAGGCTTTGTGTTAAAAAGAGAGGTTTCTCAATTTTGAAGATCACTAAGGTAATTTTAGTCATGCGGGAGAAATGGAATAAGAACCCCAGAATACCATGTTTTGGCAGCTTACACCAAATAAAGTGTGGCTGAAAAGAATCAGGAATGGTTGTACAGTTCAATTACTGAGTGTGGCTGAAAAGGATCAGGAATGGTTGTACAGTTCAATTACTGATGAAATGGAACCCCCTCTTGTGTTTTTTAAATGCGTTCAGGTTTTTGAGTTTTTGTGTTTTCTTCCCTCGTATCTATTACTTTATGTCTGTTTTGCCGATTGTATTGATTATTCCATTTTCAAATTTTTAATTTTTATTGGTAGCTTTCATTTTTAGTCCAATTTTGTTAAATGTATCCAATCAAAATAAACTTTTAATTTTATCCTTCAATATTGAGTTTGGTCAGAATTTGTGTTATCATCATCATGAATAACTTTTGTTATTTCTGTGATTCTCTAGAGGCAGTCTTGTCACTGTCAAAATACTGGAACGCTGGAGATAATATCAGATTTTATAGAGACATGCACCAAATATTCAAATAGAAAAACTCATCTGCAACCCAACCCCCAGATAATTGTTTGACCTCCAACTTGGTCGCGCAGATTCCATTTTTTTTTTCATCATTCTTTTGTTCTGATTAGTGTTTCACGAGCTATAAATTATATAAGAAATAAGGATGCATGTACTTCATTGCTACAAAATCATCGCACCATAATGGGTTTTAAATTTTTATTAGTAATTTAGTATGTTGGCTGACACAAACCTAGTTAAACAGTCATTTCTCCAGAGACATGTTCAATCATTGATAATAATACTTATTCAAAAAAAAAAAATCATTGATTATAATACAATAATGTATTTATGCTAAAATTTAGCTTTAATTTTGTGAAACACAAAATTCAATTCATAGATTTAAAAAAAAAAAAAAACCATAATCTCTAGGCTTTAGGTCTATTGGTGATATATGATATCATTTGTATCTTTATAGTGAAGATAGTTCGAATTTGTTAAATTCATGCATGACATGCCAACTATCATCGTGTCGAAATTTCGAGGTTAATTTTCAAATTCAAATTCATCATGTTATTACATGCACCAGATTATGTGAAAAGAACTTGATTGAATCATCCATTATATCATGTTTTGCATGGAACATAGCTGCAAATCTGCCTGTAGCGACTAGACGCCTGAATGCCCTGTTTGGGTACTCCCTCCTCCATTCGATTGGCCACAAGAGCCTCTCCCCTAATATGTACAGCTTGGAACTGGGTCTAAACTAAATTCAAGCTGGATGTAATCTGCGAAGTGTTGGATTTCGAGGGGGCTCTCTTTTGTTGGCAAAGATGGCTGAAAAGTTACGTTGGTCCATAATGCAAGAAAGTTGAAACTATTACAGCGGCACAGCCACCATGATCCAACGCTCTTTGAGACCGGTTCTCTTATTGACATCTTGAAAGCATTTGAGACACTCTTTCTTCTCCCAACCTTGAAACTGCTCAAGTGGGCCACTTTAACTGATCATTCTTGTCATACCTCCATATTCATACCAATAACAATGGACAAAAGGAGATCTCTCTAGTCAAGATCCTTGTGGCTTTGAGAAGACTGATCTATTATCAGCATGGCATAGCCGTCCAGGCAGATGCTCCTTTAAATCCAAATAATCCGTTGCGTATTATAATGTCATTACATTGTCCAGTTATTTATTTTAACCTTCTGCATTCTAATGAGGTTTGTCATAAGTGAACAAGTGTCAGTGCTACAGTAAAAATACCTTGTTAATTTTCCATAGGAAAAGATTGAAACTAGTGCTTTTTGTGACTTTTAAGCTTTTAGATCTACCATCATCGGGAAGTTTGCTTTTTTTCATACATTTCCCATTAGTCATGCTTGATGCATGGGTAAAATTTAAATGTGTAAAAATTTTCTAACTATTGGGTGTCACTCAATGTCCAATTATCAATGAGTTATTAATATTAATTTTAGAATAATTTTAGCTTTTCAAATTGTATCTTGATCAGCCTATCTCTACTCTACTAGCTATATAGTACTGAAATTTGTCTGTTTTATGAATACTGTGTCAGTGATGGAGGGCTAAAAAACATTTGAGTATAGTTTGATATTGAAACTCACTATTGACTCATGACAGGATATTATTAGGCTTCCGAGATTGTTTCGCTTTCTCCAGAAACCCCTAGCACAATTCATATCGGTTCTTAGAGCTCCAAAGAGTAGAGAAGGTTATGCCTCCATTGGTGGTGGCTCTCCCTTGCGGAAAATAACTGATGCACAGGTATGATTTATGCACCTGATGCTGGCTAATGTTCAACATTATGTTTTTGTTTTTTTTAAAGAAGTTCACATTGTGTATTTGATAATGCAGTGTCTACATTTTGAACTTCTTCTCTTGATTTTGTATGATATTTTAAGTATATTATCTTTGCTTGGTTATTACTTGGTTGATATCCCACAGGTGTTGTTTCTGATTGCAAATTAGTTAGGAAAGATGTCCTGATTGTAAGAGCCTATGGTTATAATTTCGGATGACCAAAGCATGTTGGTTTGATCATTCTCAATTCAAATCAATATTTCACTGGCATTTCTCTCTATTTCATGGCTGTTCATCTGTTAATTGGACAATGCATGCATCTAGTGTGAATATATGGATGACATGAAGTTATTAGCAGTAGTTTGAGTAGATACTCTTTTTCTTCACATCATGCACACAGAGCATAATGAGGATGGCTAGTTGCGGTTTCTAGAATGTAACTTGAGGCTGATCCTGGGTTTGGAATTTGTTCTTTGTAGAGGCCTTTCTTTTGTATTTCCCTGTAATGATGGAGTAGTCATGGTGGGAGTTGACGCGTTCATGTTAATTGTAGTTGTAGTATTTTCTGTGGCCCTTTTAAATGAGGTATTGAGGATTTGGAATTTGGGAATTTTAGTCTTGTGGAGTATCCTGAGTCTGTCTTCATTTCTTCTTTGCTGACGATTGAGGTTTCTTCTCCCTAGGGATTTGAAATTATGCCGTGCTGTCCTTATTTCTTTACCTTCATCCCCTTTCCTTAGAGAAACAAAAACAAAAATAAAAAATAAAAAAGAAAGAAAGAAGAAAAACATTATCTACTTGCTACTATCCCTTTCACCTCCACTTTCCCACACCCTTTCTTCTCATCAATCCACTGTACCGTACAGCTGTTATCATACGTCTTCCCTCCTCCTTACTGGCTGTTTGGCTGTCTCCATGTGGTGCTACTTGCATGCCTCTTCTCACTTCTAATGAAGATTTATGCCATCAAATGAAGTTATAGTAGTAATGTGGATATCTGCTTTTAAATCTGATAAACAGGTATTGTCAGTAAATTATAATGATAAAACCACTGTTTGGTTTATTATAAAATCATAATATTTCGCCAATATTTGGTCGCTTGTTGAGACAGGAGGAAACTCTTCATTTCTTCCTTTCCATCTTTGAGTTACTCGATATGTTATGGCTTGATCTCAGCATAGGGCATGCACAACTTTTATTGAATGGTGTTTTTCTCCTATTTTTTGTTTTCTGTTTGCTGGCTGTTTTTGGCTTGCTGATCTCTTATGCTCTTGCTTCACAGGCTGAAGAGCTACGAAAATCCCTTGAAGCAAAAAATGTTCCTGCAAAAGTGTATGTTGGAATGCGCTACTGGCATCCATTCACTGAAGAAGCAATCGAACAGGTATTCTGGTGATGAAATTGAAGGCAGAAATTGCCCCAGAATTCCATCTTCAAAAATTATTACTAGCAACTTCATGTGGCTTCTGCGAAAGAAAACACATCTTTGTACATTAGGGTACCATATTAAGTTCAATTGCAGTTCTTACTAATTTTTCTAAGGTAATTTCACTTTTACTGACCTCTTGAAGAGTTCCTAAAAATTGTGCTTAGCTAGTGATGGTGTGAGCTGGGAGTCATATCCAAGGGATGATACTTTGTCATCCCCGGGATTTGATACCTTGCCTCGTACTTAACATGCATTCATTAATAAGAATTGCTTCTTAATGAAAAAAATAATTATCCTAGGACCCTCATTTTTTATAGAACAGTGTAACTCTGTTAAATTATAGTTCATAATTATTTTATGTGTGATATTGGTTTCATCTCTTTTTCAGGTTCCCAATTTCAATATTCTATTTCATTTGGAACATGAGACTCTGCTAGCTCCCAATTTTTGTATTTGGATTTTATTAGCTTCTCACTTCTGCTGGATGCTCAATTGGGGTGCATGGATCTTGGCTTGTGTAACTGTTGTTTCCTCACACTACTGTTAACTTTTCACAGATAAAACAGGATGGGATCACAAAACTTGTTGTACTTCCTCTCTATCCGCAATTCTCAATCTCAACTAGTGGCTCTAGCCTTCGTCTTTTGGAAAGTATATTCAGGTCGCACACTTTAAATTTTCCATGTCCTTGCAAGTTATGATAGAACTATATATGAGCTTTACATTCTTCATTTATATGACATAGTTTGGTTTACTTGCCATTCTTTAGAGAGGATGAGTATCTGGTTAACATGCAACATACTGTGATACCTTCATGGTACCAGCGTGAAGGTTATATTAAAGCCATGGCAAATCTAATTGACAAGGAACTGCAGAATTTTGAAATCCCTAAAGAGGTATGAATTTGTGTTATTTCTGCTATTTAATTTCGAATGGGTAGTTACACACTGTCTTGCATGATTAGCAGTTGCAGAACAGTTGTGCTAGGTCCTAAAATGTAAACTTCTCCTAGAGGGGTTGCATTTCTTGCCCCAAAAGATGCGTTTATGGTGTTTTGGGCTTAATAACTCTGGAGCATATCCAGTTCGTCACCAATGGGACCAATTGCTATTATTGAAATTTCTATTGGAATGACAATGTTGTATCCTCCTCTGCTAGAGTCATGTTGTTCGTGTCTCAACGTGTGTAAAGAACCCTTTACACAGTGGCCAAGTTACATTCCTTAGTGTAACATTCAACCCTTACTAATATCATCTCAACTGTTTTATGTTCTTTACATATCGAGTAAGAACACTCCCAATTGAGCTCATATTGTTTGTAATTGTTGAAATTATTAAGTGTAGCATTGGACATCTAATAAAAAATGTCTTCCCTCCCAACGCCAAATGGCTGCCAATGACATTTCCTGTAGGCAAAATTTCCACATGAGGCAGGTTGGAAATACTTGCAATTTTCCATCAAATATGCTTGAATAATATGCTCTTGTGAGAGTGTATAATACATTTGTTACCTGGGAAAAATACCTACTTAGGAGGACTTCATGATCTGAAAATTTGGGATCCACATTAGAGTCATCAGATGAATAATTTCCACAAAGAAAACAAAATGTGTTTTGCATTCGTGAACACCCAGCTGCCGATTCAAACATTGGAAAGGTTGTGTTCAATCTTATGGCTTTCTTTTTTCCAGGAACTTCTATAGTGTGTATCCAATTTTCTTTTTAGTCTAATAGGTTAGTCCACGAAATTTGAAGCCCTAAAAAATATGCCTAGCTAGTGTTTTGCCCAAGGGAGCACATACACGGCACTTGTATAGACACAAATACATAAACACACACACTCATACATACACGGACACACATGCAGGCATGCACACATATACATGCATAGACACACACACGTGCATAATATTAACCATGCTAGAGATATTTTTTTGGCCCCAAATTTTGTATATATTTTCTTCGTCCCAGCAAACAGTCTTAAATTTATTTATGTTTTTAAAAAAAGGGTCCCTAGAAAGTGGTTTTATTAAACACATTCAACATTGGCCCATCCATTTGATGGGTTCATTAGATTTTGGCTTTTAAGTAAAACTCTTAAAAAATAAAAAAAAAGAAAAAAAGAAAAGAAAAGAAAAGAAAAGTTGTTCATCTGAAGATGATAACACCATTTACAAATGTTAGGGTCAAGCAAGCACCCTAAGGCCTAGATCTAACTGTCATTAAAAAGATGACCCCATTCACTCTCTCCTCAAAAAGATCACTTTTTACAGTTTTTTTTTTAAAATTTCAATGATATTGTTTGCTGGGATGACTATAGGTCTTGTACAAAATTTGGGGTAGAGAGAGATGTATGTTCTTAGATGGAAATGTAATGATCTGCATTTCAATTTCGATTTTTGTAGTTATCTCTCTTTACATCTAGTCTTTGACTTCTTTGATTTAGGGGACATTCTTTTCATCACATGAAATGGATGCCAGGTGATGATCTTTTTTAGTGCTCATGGTGTACCACTTGCTTATGTTGAAGAGGCTGGTGATCCATATAAAGCAGAAATGGAGGAGTGTGTGGACTTGATAATGGAGGAGCTGGAAAAGCGAAGGGTCACGAATGCATATACACTTGCTTATCAGGTATACTTGTTAATGTTATGTGCCTACGGTTGCAGTATTCACTTGGCAAAATATGACTTTGGTTTAAAGCACTTTGGCAACCTATTTATGAAATTTTTTATTTTGAAGTAGCTATTTGTAGTCTGCTTATGTGCTTGAGAAAATCTCGGAAGCAGGATGTGGCAGGATGGCTAGGGTGTTGACAATTGCAAAACTACATGCCAATGTTAGTAGTGTCATGAGCTACCCATAAAAGGAACAGAGCTTGAGTAAATTTGGTCTTAGTTCTTCTGCCTTGGATTTTGCGAAAACTAAATGTGGTTGACAGCTTCTTGGCTTTCTGCATGCTTTACTTCTTGTGTTTATTTGTGATGATCTACACATGTTCCATTGTTTTTTCTCTGTTTGCTGCCTCACTTTTGTTGATTAATAAAAGGAACATATTGCAACTCCTTACAAGAAATTTCCCATGGCCGACTGCTGCAGAAATTTCCACCAAGTTCTGGTTTCTTGCATATGTGTATGGTTCCTATAAAAGTAAATGCGTATAAAGTTCTCCAATAATACTTTACAAGTATGTTATTTTTTGTTTTGAATTCAAGGTCTTTTGAACATGATTCCTATTATGGGTTTTCATCATAAAGATGAGGTGGTTGTAAAAGGTAATATTCTATATTTAATTCCAGGTATGTATTTTTAGGATCTTTTTAGGGTATGTTTTTAGGGTTTTTCAATTTTTGTAGGCATTGTAGGGCTAGTTTTGGGAAGCAGTTAGGTCATTATGGAATATTTATTTGTGAAGGAGTAAAAGTGTCATTTTGTGTTCAGTTTTGATTAGGGCTTCATTTATATTAGAAGTATGGTTTATTGAGGATCAACTTATAGTTAGAGGTTGGGTTAGGGTTTTAGTTTTTGAGTTTGATAATTATTTTGTTTACAGTCCTGGTTTCACCAGAGATCGCTACGACACTTGACTTGTAAGCTTATCCTTTCTATTTTCAATCAATTTTTTGGTTTTTAATTTCTTGTAAATTCCTTTTCATCAGAACTTCTTTTTTGCTTTGCATTGACCGGTATCAGAACAAGCTCATTTCCAAAGCACCATGAGATGATGTAGTTTGTGTGGTGGCTACTAAAGGATGTCGAGTTTGTGGTGGTGTTGATGTCAAAGGTACATGGGAGAAACACAATGATCTGAGGGGATTTGAGGATTTGATGTAAGAGATATGTCAAATTATTTGAGTCAGAGGAGGTTCATGGAACTGAGACACGATGTGCATCCAACTCACTTTGATTGACATTCAATAGTTCATGACAATTGTAGATCTGAATTCAATTGCAATAATGGATCAGCTTTAGCAGAAATTAATCCAGCTCATAACCAGGAAAGAGGTAATCTTTCTGTGTGTGAGGATCTTTTGGTTTGTAGTCTTGAAGGAGATAGACAATCGAGAAACTTTATTCTCAACAAATTGTTTCCAAAATTAACAAGTTATAGATTGAGGTTCGCCACCAATCTTAGACACGTGCTCAGATGAAGAATGAGATCTCATGGGTGATTTCATCTATGTTGAAGTACTTACCCTTTTTTTTTTAAATCTATGTTGAAGTACAAGACTTCATGGGTAATCCGATCTATAATGAGGTTTAAGATGAAGATGAAGTTTTGGAAGTAGAAGTTGCTGATTTGATTAGCTAGTTAAGGTTTGAAAGCACTCGTCCTGAAGAAGCTCCCTCTGTTTGTTCTGGGTTGACCTGGGGTAATTTCAGCTGGTTCATGTAGCTGAACTAAGCTTGGCAGATACTATTAGCATCTTGCGAGGCGACAAGGAGACATATGAGAGTCTCCGTGGAGTTTATATCCAGCATAGGGCCTTAGGTGTTGCTGCACAGCCTTCTAGAAGATACATGACCAGGCACGTCTTTGGCACACAGCCATTGATTTCATGGCTGAAGCTTGTGTTAACGTGATGGCTTAGTTGGATAGCCAGCCCAAAGAGATTGACAATCTGAAGGGAAAATAATTCAACTCGAATAATAATTCCCTGCGCTGGATACCTTTAAAAAAAAAAATTCCATTTGCTGGAGAAGGTTAAAGATGATGTTGTGTCATGGAATTTCAAATTCTCTGGACTCTCTAGCAATGTGTTGCTATGCAGCTTGCCTACCAAGTTGTTGCCAATATTTTCTTCTATATTGGGATTCAAGAGCTAGATGAGACGTTTTTGAGCATTATACCTTCTGACAGCCATAGCTTCTGTTTGTAGCTTAGGATGGCTGTCAATGATACTTATTGGAAAGCCATTTTAGAGCTGCATGACATCTAAAACCAGCCCCATCGGTTTCAGCTACCAATTTAGTCAAGAAAAGCATTTAAATGCCTGAAATTTGAGTCCAAGTTTCGATTTGATTTTCAGTGCAAGTCCAGGGTTAGTTGAATTGAATATATTTCTACTGATTCCTCCATCTGCATATCAAGATCTATTCCTTAGGGGTGTTTACTACCATTCATATCTTTGGAGAAACAAAGAAGAATATTGAAGAAGACGGTGAATTTGATACAGAAGTTTTATCCTAGCCTACTTAAAAAATCTCAAGGATGGGTTTTCGTCAACTAGGAGAGTCTGATCCAGTATAGGTTGACTCCTTAGTAGGATTAGGGTTTCTTGAGGGTCGAGCTACGTTTTAGTCTATACAGTGAGATCAACTTAGGGCTTTAGTTTTATAGTTTGATAATTATTGTGTTTGGAGTCCTGGTTTCACTAGAGATTGCTACGAAGCTTGGCTTGTAGGTTTCCACTTTCTATTTTAGATAAAATTTTTATTTTTTTAATTTCTTCTTGTAAATTTGTTTTGCATTATTAGAGATTCCCTTTTATCTACATAGTGGCCATCTTCTTCATAGGCATGCTTGTCAAGTATTCTTGCTTGATTGCTCCCCGCTTTGATGTAAATTGAAGACAAAAGCATACACACAAGAAATTGCAAGAACTATAGCATGTATACTTAACAACTCCCCAAAATAAAAGGATCCTTTAATTTTCAATTTTAAGTTATATAAATACCTGTAAGTTTTTGTTGGAAAAGAAGAAAAACAATTGGATCAAAGGATATGATAAATCCTCGTATGCCAATTCACTGTGACAAGGTCATTGGATTGATCCAAGCTTCCTTTAAAGTCCCCACTTCCAATCTCTCAAACCTAGCTAGAGGGGAGCAGTGTTTAAAAAATCAGTTATCCGATCTGGAATCAGGCAATCCGGAAACCGGCCAGACCGTCCCAGATCTGTGTATAAAACGGGATCCGGACGAATTGATGCAGTAAATTCGTTGTGATGACGTCACAAACCAGATCTAACATCACAGATTCGATTTGTAGCGTCATAAATTTTTTTTTTTGAAACACGTTTTCTTTTTTTGTGTTGAGATGCCAAAATACCACATTATGTCTGGGCCCCCCACAAGAGCCTGTTGCTCGCTCGTCAAGCATGCAGCTCAAGCACAATGAATTAATGTCGCGGACCTTATGAGTTTTAAAGAGCTTCATGCTCACTAAATTTGATGATGTGGGACAAGTCTCTTTGTTACTTTATACAGGCATGAGAGAGAGCATTTAGGCATTAAGCAACTAAAGGGGTGGTGGCGCAGTTGGCTAGCGCGTAGGTTTCCTAACATTTAAGAGTAATCCTGAGGTCAAGAGTTCAAACCTCTCTCACCCCAACGTCACTTATCTATGCAAAAAAAACAAAACAAAAAAAATCTGAGCACGAACAAACTAATTAAATGACATGCAATTAAAAACTTAGAGCTCACGCAAATTAGTTAAATGACATGCAATTAAATTTGTTAATTAAATGACAATTAAATTTGTTAGCATATGATACGTTAATTAAATTTATTAGCATATGGTACGGTAATTAAATTTGTTACCATATAACACAAATTAATTAAATGACTAATATAGAAATTATATGGTAGGTTTTTTTTTTTTTATGAAGTTAACATTGTATTAAAGAGAAGTACAAATAGTGATAAGAGAGGACACACGGGTTTGTCCTCTCAGAGGGGAGCTAGTAACACCTCTGTGAATGGGTGTAGTACAAAGAGTACTTTAGAAAAAACTAACCGCACGACGGTTCGAGGTCATTTTACAAAGGCTTTGGAATCAAAGTGCCATGCCCGGTATTACATTAAAAAGTATGACAAAACAGATGTGAAGAAAAGCGATTAGGAAAGTCTTCCAGGCTTAGGTAGTAGCTACAACTTGCAGATTGGCTCCCTCCTTAGCTAGACGGTCCACCAGTGTGTTTGATTCCTGCCAGATATGCGTCCATGAGACGGGAATATCCTTGCATAGGTGAGAAATCTTGTCAAAAATCGTAGAGAGGCACCAAGGGGGATACATGACCAGCTACCCAAGAAACTATATTGTGTGCATCCCCTTCCAACAAAAGCGGTTGACCCTACACAGGATCAAAGAGTTTGATGCGTGTGAGCAAGGCGAGAGATTTTGCCAATTGTGAATTGGCGTGACCTATATGTCTTGAGAGCTGTGCCAAGCTGTTTCATTGGTAGTCTCTGAACACCACCCCTACCCTAGAGGGGCCAGGATTTTTTAGAGCAGCCATCGATGTTGAACTTAATTGCACAGAAGTAATTGTTGCCAATTGGCAAGGAAGATAGAAGAAGGAAGGAACTTGAGGGCCTTATAATTGGTGGCCCAAAAAGTCACGAGAGTGTGGATTTTATGGAATAGGGCTGGATTATTGTAATGGACGCCTCTAAAGATTCTTGAGTTCCTTTCTATCCATAGGGTCCAAATCATGGCTCCTGCCGCTGCCTTTTAAAGGAGCCTCTCAGCTTTGGGCCACGGAAGATTATCTGCTAAGTTAAACAGTCCAGGGATGGAGGCCGGTATGACCTAGTTTCGGCCGAAAAGATTGAGGAGTTTGCTCCACTGGTAAAAGGCAATGTCGCAGTGGATAAACAGGTGAGAGTGGGTCTCGTCTTCTTTAAAACAG